TTCCAAGAGGATAGCATCTTTTTCTTTGAATCCTGAGCAATAGCATTTCACGTGTCTGTGCTTTCCCGTGCACTTGGAAGAGATGGCTTTTCCCCTGTTTCCTGCACTGTAGGCCTGTATGAGTAGATTCACGACTGAAACATATTTGCATTGTTCAGGGCCACCAGCAGCCTCGTGGCAACATCCTGCAACTCTTCTTCCTTCACTGCCTTTCCAATGGACAACAACAACTTAATTGTCTTCAGTAAACTCTGCACCTGGGTATCTCGTAGCCTCAGGAGGAGATCCTGGATGTCACTTGCGGGCAGCTGTCCTTGCTGCTCACCAGTGACTGTCGCCTCTGTGGCACGTGGGCCAGAAGAATTTAGTTGCATGCTCCTCGACCATGGCATCCTTGTGGGTGAGGAGGTGAGGGTCACAGCTACTTCTGTAGCAGGGCTGGAGCCACCTGGCTGGGTAGCTGGTAGAGATGTGGGGGAAAGAGACTGGGGACTGAAGGTGCTGGACAACATGGTGTCAGTGCTCACGGTAGTGTCGTTGATGCCTGGTGTGCTGTGCAGCTTGGCTCTGCTCTCTCCTGGGCACACAGTCCTCTGTGAAGGAAAAAACATACCTCTGTAGAGGCTTCAGCAGCAGGCAACTAAGCACCCTCCTGTTCTGTGGGTTACCTTTCACTCCACAATCCCATCTTTCCCACTCTCTACAAAGCTGAGACGTATGAAAGCAAAGAAACCTTTATCTCCTTTCCTTGTCAAGTCTCCCTGTAAGTCTCTCTTGGGACTTAACAGCTGTCTTTACTTTCCTTCTCTTGTAGCCTGCATGAATCCCCCTTTCTCCTGCAGTAACCTAGATTGTCTCAACTTGGTTGGGAATGAGAGCTGGAGAGAGGGCTGAGGTGGTCCTCAGAGGCTCATTTTCTTGAAGAATACCTTCTCTAAAGTCTCCTTTTTGGCAAATGACAGGAGATGCCATCTGTGTAAGCTAATTGGCTTGGTGTGAGTGCCCCTTGAAGGTGGACTGCCTGTGGCTGTCTTCTATCTGCCCTGTGTTTTAGCTTTCTGTTTTCCCACTTCCTCATTTTCAGGGCTCTCCCTGTGCCTAGTACTTGGCCAGATCACACCATGATCTTAAGGAAATAGCTAAATAACTCACCTTAAGGAAATACTTTTTCTTAGTGCAGCGATAAAAAGAAAAAGTGCAGAAGTTGGGGAAGGAAGGATTTCCTGGCAGTTTGGTGCATATGGGCCCTAGAAAGAGGCAAATACAGACACAGACCCAGTGGTAAACTCCAGTGTTGGCATCCCACCAGCCCTGAACAATAACTTCACTGTTGAATGGCACCCCTCCATGAAAACTGGTGTCACTTGGGTGCCTCCCTGAACCTTATGAGAAACTCCACTGCTTCTTGGTCATCTCTGTGAACCAAGGTGTGAGAAGAGGCTGGTTGTAGGGACTCATGCGGATGCAATCAAGTGTGAGAGAGGATGCACATGAGCAGATGTCTTCACTGAAGGATTGCTATTCATCCCTCTCCCTCACCAGCTCCTGAGTCTGTTCTCTCACAGTGATCAGGTCCCGTGCTGGCCATGAAAGACCCCCATCCAGCTGCCTGCCCATGGTTGGCTTTACCTTGAGGGATTACTCCATGGTTTTCATACTTGTCCAGTGCCTGGACCAGTGAGTTCTGACAGCCGTACATCTCACGAAGGTGGCAGGCAGTGCTGACTTGGAGGGTGGCCTGGAGGAACCTGAAGAACTGGCGGTACTCCTGGTCGGAGAGTGGCATTCCCAGCTGCTGTGCCTTCACGTTCCAAGGACCAGCTGTGCAGCCCCAACCCAAGAGCACTGGTGAAAAATGAGAGAGAGAAGGAAACGCTAACCATGGCGTCCTAAGAAGAGCTGGAAGGCTGAATCCAGATCTCTGCTGCCTTTTCTGACTGCAGGATCCAGCACATGGGAAATGCAGTAACAGGCTAGAAATGTCGGATCCAGACCGGGGGAAAACCTGCTCCACCCATGTTGGAAGGGGTGTAGCATTTTGGGGACAATACATGGCTGAGGACCTTCATCAAAGCTCTGGAGATTGAAAGCTTGAACTAGAAATGTCTTGGAAGTCATAGCTGAAACTGAGAATATTGCTCTGCTGTCAGGGCTGAAGCAAGGAGACTGTTTCCTGTCAAGATTTTTAGCTTCTGCAAACTCTTTTCCTCTGACTAAGTGGGTCTGTAACCAAGGTCCTAACTCACACCTTTCTCCTGCCTCCCCTGTCGCTTCACCTGGTCAGCTCTTTTCTTATGGCCTTGCAAGTCAAGATCTCTGGCTTTGTGCTTGTGTCTGGTTTAATGTGCCTGGCTATCCCCATCATTGCATTTCCACCTCTGCTCCAGTCTGTGCCCATTGCATCCAGCTCTGACTCCTCCCTAACTCCTAGGTTGCTCTGTGGCCCTCCTTGAGGATAAAATACCAGCTCCAGTGAGTGAAGACTGGTGAAATTGTAAGCCTCCAGGATCTTTGCACCTGAGGCATTGGAAGGTGCTTCTGTCCCTTCTTTTTGCCTTCAAACTCCTCAAGCTGAGGAGCAATGGGGAGGAGTGCAGAGCAGCCAGGTCAGCTGCCCTTCCTCACAACTGCTGTCGGAGGAGAGACATTTCCCACTCACCAGACAAAACCAGGTAAGCCCACATGGCTGACATCACACTGTGAGCAGTGCCTGCGGTAGTTGGAGCCCACCTGTGCTGCTGGAGGTATCACCTCCACTGCTGCACTGGTGATGTCATAGACACCTGCATTCCCAGTGCTCCATCTTCCACTGCTCCTGCTTCCTCCAAGTTGTGCCTCCCTGGTAGCCCCCGCCAGGCAGTGGTGGCTGCTGAACAAGGCCAAGTGTGAATGTGTTGGTGTTTGTGCATAAACAGGTGTGTGCAGCTCTTTTTTTTCTGCTCATTGCCTGTCCTATAAAATCCATCTGGAAGGAGGCAGTCAATTGTCATTTTTCTGGAGCATGGGGCAGGAATTTCTGCCTCTGGACTGCTCCTGTTGATAATTGTGTGAGCAGATCAAAAATCACATCTCTCATCCCAGACCTGGCTGATCCACTGAGAGCAACCAAGCAAAGTACTCCTTCAGTGAAGGCAGTAAATGGGACTCCAGACAGAGGCAGTTGTGAAAGCAGCATTTTCTCCTCCACTTGCAGAACAGAACTGCATTAATCATTATATTCTCCTGTCTTTCACTAGGAAGAAAGGTGATGGAGAGAAAACGTGTGGAGGATTCAATATTTTTCTTATACAAAACTTGGCAGGAGGCATTTTTGGTCCAGAAATGCAGCAGGAAGAACATCCAGACACTTGTGAGAAGGCAGCAAGCTGGCAGGCAGCTCTCTGCATGTATGGGTGACCTGTCTGTGCTACATGAGCTGGCCCTGGTTATTGGACCCAAACAGCAGTGTCACTGTATGACAGAACAGACGGTGACCCTGACTCATGTTTCTGGGTTTCATTTTCCTCTGATCTAGGTTGCTTTCAGCTCCTAAATACTTACTGTCCTGAAATCTCACTATATAACACTGCTACTATGGTGGGTATTTATTATGTCTGTTTTCTTTCCTCTGATCAGGACCTGCAGTCCTCAGCTTGGCTTTAACCTTTTGGATGAAGAGAAACAGCTTTGTGGCCAGAAGCACCTTAACACAGACAGTAGAGAGATTGCTCACAAGGTGAGAAATTGCATACCTAGGAATGGAAGAGCTGAATGTTGAAAATGTGATCTGTGCTGTGCTGCACACACTGTGCTCACCCTGCTCCTGTACTATATCCCACGCTGGGGAAGATTTGTAGGCAGGGTATGATAAGATGAAACACACTTCTGGGATATCTTATACCCTTTCAAAAAAGACCCTGTCCCAAATGAAATGAAGTCCTGTGTATTTTTCAGCAAAGACTATACTCAGAATGTTAGAAGGCATGACTAACAAAAACATGGGCTTTTTCTTCCTTTCATGCTGACAGTGTTTTTAATATTTTATTGGTCAATTTGCTGCTTTGAGGTTGAGTTGGGCCAGTGCTGTACCTTATTTTGTACTACAAATGCTTTTCAACCCTGACTGTTGTAAACACTTTGGGAATTGGTATGACCACTGCACTGGTGTCTTCCAAAATCTGCAGATCACCTGAAACAAAACCTGAGGGGTTTATCCTGCTGCATCACCTCATATTCTGACCTCCCACATGTAAGAGGACCATGTTAACTCTCTACGCAGTGCCATGCAGCTAATTCACTTAACCTTGCGCTCCAGCATTCATTTCCAAGGATCATTCTCCAGATGATTTTAACTAATAAAAAATCAGGAGCCTCTAAATGTTTCAGTCTAAATGTTCATTTCCATGCTTGATTAATAAAATAGTTTATCTTCCCACTCACTTGCTTGTCTGTTCTGTAGACAAAATCTAGATAAAATTTGCTGCAGAATATGTAGGGCTTTTTTTCTAAGGAAAAGGGCCATGGCTGGAAAGAATAAAGAAAATAGTCTACTGAGCAGGAGTGGATGTTCCTCTGGCGTTGGCTACTTCCTTCCTTGATTAAGCATGGTAATGCTGGAAGATGATCAGTGATTCAGAGGCAGCAGGAGTAGAAACTGCTGCAGTGTGAGTTGTTGAGGAGAGCAGCCTTGATGTTCCTCTAACCTTGCTAGATGTGGGAACTTTGAGGGCAAACAACTGACAGGTCTTTCCATTTAAGACTGTAACTTTATGACAGAGAACCCCCCTTGCAATCTGTGCCACAGTGGCTGCCCATCTGTCACACCCCCTTCCCACGCTCCTTGTTTTCCATGCCCTCACTCTGCCCTGAGAAGATACTGAGGTTCTGACTCCTGTCCTGTCAGCTTATGGTGGCTGATGCGCAGCAGGTCTTGGTGCTCTCCCTGTTTGGACTTCTCCCTCCGAGAACCAGGGGGTTATTTATTGCTAGTTCCTCTGTTCACTCTGGCAGGTGACGGGACCATGGGCGAAACACAGAAGAGCAGCCTTCATCAGGAGAGTCCTGTCAGACCTGAAATGCATGTATTCCCCTCCAGGAAGCTCACAGGAGATAGCCTCCAGGACACTGATCTAAGACAGGACTGCAGGCAGGAGCTGGAGACAGAAAGTGAGATTGAGACTTCTTTTTCAAAGAGACAGGGAATGGTACGACCCTATGGGATGGAGGTCTGGGAGTGTGAGGGCAGTGGTAGAGCACACATCAGCAATGTTATCCTTGGTGGAGAAAAGCCAGACCTACCCATGTGTGGGAACAGTGCTATTTGGATTCAGCAGGTGGGAGAGAAAGCCTATGAGTGTCCCGAGTGTGGTAAGAGCTTCAGCCGGAGTTCATACCTGAGCCAGCACCAGAGGATCCACCTGGCAGAGAAACCCTTCAGCTGCTCCGAATGTGGGAAGAGTTTCACCCGCAACTCGGACCTGATCAAACATCAGCGGATCCACACCGGTGAGAAGCCCTACCAGTGCAATGAGTGCGAGAAGACCTTCAGCCAGAGGTCCAATGTAATCAGGCACCAGCGGACCCACACGGGAGAGAGACACTACCAGTGCAATGAATGCGGGAAGAGCTTCAGCCAGAACTCACATCTTATCGTCCACCAACGAAGCCACAGGGGTGAGAAACCCTTTAATTGCCTTCGGTGTGAGAAAAGCTTCAGTGACCGTTCCTCCCTGATCATACACCAGAGGGTCCATACTGGAGAGAAGCCCCACAAGTGCCAGGAGTGTGGGAAGCATTTCCGGGACAGCTCGGCCATCATTCGGCATCAGAGGATTCATACGGGAGAGAAACCATACACGTGTACTGAGTGTGGGAAAACCTTCCGGCAGAGCTCCTCACTAGTGACCCACACGCGAACGCACACGGGTGAAAAGCCCTACAAGTGCTCTGTGTGCGGGAAGGGCTTCAGCCAGAGCTCAGCGCTCACTACTCATCGCCGAATCCACGGGGGAAAGGCCTTGCCCATGTACCACGGTTGCCTCCTGCCCAACCCCTACCAGTGCGCTGAGTGCGGCCGGAGGTGCAGTGACCACTCCACCCTGGCCAAGCACCGGAGCACGCACACCGAGGAACGGCCCCACATCTGTGTGGAGTGTGGGGACAGCTTCCGGCGGAGCTCGGCTCTCAATGTGCACCTGAGGATCCACCGTGGGGAGAGACCCTACAGGTGTGAGGAGTGTGGAAAAACCTTCAGGCACCGCTCAGCCCTCGGTGCCCACCTGAGGATCCATGCAGGAGCCAAGCCCTATGAATGCACTGAGTGTGGGAAAAGCTTCCGGAAAAGCTCAACACTTAAAGTGCATTTGAAAATTCACGTGGCCAAGAAGCCTTACAGATGTATGGTGGGTAGAAAGATGCTTGCTTCCCACTCGCTTCTGCCATAGGCCTGGAGTGGGTGTTCGCAGCAGGAAACAAAAACAGTGTTTGGAGGTACCTAGAAGAGGTGAGTGATGAGAACTATGGTGGGAAGAGATCGACTGGAGACAGTATTTCTCGTGCTAGGGCTGGGTGCTTAACCTCAGTGGCACAAAAACAGTTAGGAGGTCTGGAAGCAGGAATTTAGTCCTAAGAGCTGAGTGCTGAGGGTTTAGGAAGAGTGCGAAGAGCCTGAGGAAAGGGTACTAGCTTTAGGGTGAGTAGGGGACTGTGAATATGTGGTAGAATAACAGCTGGGAGAATTGAGCTTGTAAAATACAACTAAAGTGAAGATCAAATCCAATGTTCCAGGTTGGGTCTGACCCAAAACTTTGGCTTGTTAGACACTATAGGAGTCTTAGGAACTCTCTTTTTATTACCTATTTTTCATTGATGTAGTAAGTTTACCCGGTGTTTGACATGACACTTCCAAATCTCTTGAGTCTAAGACTCCAGAGCTGAACTTCAATCTATTTGTCTTTTCTTTTTTCCAAATTTTGCTTGTAACAGTGAATTCCTACCTCATGATAGCTGAGTAACACGAAACTGTCCCGGCTGTTCCCAGAAAACATGGATGTGGAAGCTTTTCCAGTTGAAACACAGCCCATTTCTGGTCTGTGGCAGCTTCTCTCAGATTTGTTGCTGATTTGAAACATCCTCCAACTTGGGACATCAACAAAACAGACAAAAATGTAGCCTTATTTAACCAAACAAAAAAAATATTTCCCACAGATGCCCTGGTCTGAACCAGTACATGACGAGTTCTTAAAGCTGGTCCAGAGACTGCACTTCTGTAGTCCTTTTTATCTTACTCTTCTTTAGCTCACTACTGTTTGTGAAGTATTAAAAGTCCAGCATTTAACAGTTATGAACGACCAAATATGCATTTATTACTACGCTAGCAGCTGTATTACATAAACCTCCTCTAGACCACAGCGTTTTGTTTCTAGCTGTGCGTTCCCATTCTAAATAAATCCTTTTCCCACTGTATAAACCACTTTTCTGTCCGCGCGTGTTAAGGGAGGTAAACTGGGACCCGGGGACGGCGCGGCGACGAGGGCGGGAAGGAGCTCGGGAAGATCCTGAGAACAGCACGGGTTGCGGGGAAGCAGCTCCGGTGCAGCGCGGGCCTTACCCCGCGCTCCGCCCTCAGCAGCGCGGCACGGGAAGGGAGGGGAAGGGGCGGCACGGGAAGGGAGGGG